TGACCTCCTATTGTATTTTGACTTGAAAACACTATTGGTGATCCAATTAGGCTAACTGTAATGCTATTTGGGATTACCTGTTGTACGGTAACTAGACAAAATTGCAAAATTAAATGATTAAATAAATAATACATATAAATGAATACTTTTTTTAATTATTATTATTAAGTACAACTGGTTAGTAATTTCCTCTGTGCTGTCCTTCTGGTTTTGATTCACTTAAGATTCACTTATTTGCAAAACTCTTTAATGCAAACATCACCTCAGGAGCTTGAAGGTCAAGATCAAAGTCACTCAAATGTTATACTGAAAATTGTGTCTACTTATTGAAAATGAGGCGTACATGTCTCTCAATAATCCATTTACCAACTTTTCAAACACATCTTTCCATCACACTTTTCTCTGCGTCAAAGATTGAAAATATTAGTTTTGACTGATAGAAAGTCATCTTGCATTCCATAATACTCTTGGGTTGATGTAATTAATACTAATTTTTGTGGTATAAAAGTGTAATTTTAAGAAAAACTGCATTCATATCCAAAATCATATTTATATTAAAGGGGTCATATGATGCTGCTAAAAATAACATTATTTGGTGTATTTGGTGTAATGAAATGTGTTTATGCGGTTTAAAGTAAAAAAAACACATTATTTTCCACATACTGTACATTATTGTTTCTCCTCTATGCCCCACCTTTTTGAAACGTGTCGATTTTTACAAAGCTCATCGGTCTGAAAAAGCAAGGTGTGCTGTGATTGGCCAGCTATCCAGTGCGTTGTGATTGGCCGAATACCTCAAGCGTGAGACGGAAATGTTATGCCCCTCACATACTGTTGATGCCGTGTCCCGGCTGGAGCGACGAGACATAAACATGAAAACCCATTACAAACGAGGAATTCGTTGCATCCAGTGGGGACATAATTACTGATTATAATGACTTATACTGTCTTTTTACGCGTTGCGTTGCACTGCATCGTGCCGCGTAAACATAAAACTCTGTCTGCATTTGTGATCGGAGAAATTACAAACAACAAATGCTACTCTACTGCCCAAAACTCGCGTTTGAATCATCAGTGGCAACGAAAAACACAGCGGCCTAGAGTGAGCTGAGGCGGGCTGGACTCCGCTTTGTCCAATGTGAAAGTTGATGTATTCCCTCAGCGACCAGCACGGATCAGCTCACGACGAAGCGGATATCGTCCTCTTTTGGAAGACCAAACAAAGTAGTTTCGCTTTCACAACGAAGCACACAGCGTCTTCAGGACATGGCTGCAGCGTCAACAATACAACAGCGAGAATAAAAGTTATGCCTTCTTTCTTTGCATGAACATTTGGGAGGCGTTATGCAAATCTTCCCAGATCGTGACGTAGGTATGTGGGGGCGTGTTAGAACGAGCCGTTTTAGGTAGGCGTGGTTAACTCTTAACTTTTATAAAGAATAACTCTTTGGTTTTGAGACTTTAGTCTTTGCAACTTTACAGATCTTCTTTATGCACCAAGAGCTTGTAACACTCCAAAGAGAAAGGAAAAATTGAAATCGCATCATATGACCCCTTTAAAACAATCAGACACAACGCGCATCATATTTTAAAACAAACAAACAAAAACACAAATAAATAAAGTAATAAATAGAGTAATAAATAAGTATACATCAGTCCATTTCCGTTTGATCTAATCTCACTCAGGATGATAATTAGGGCGTTCACAATAAGCTTCACTGAATAATTCATCCAATTTCAGTAACTGGGTGGGAAATTAGGGCAGGCCCCTCGTCTGATTGGCTGGAGGTCATGGTTGACTGATGTCCCCCGCCCCCTTTATCTGTCTCTGTGAGGATTGGTCACTGTTAGAGTTCAACGACAGGAGGCTAAGGGCCAAAAAGATGAGAATGATGGGCCAGACAGTTGAAAGGATCACATGTAAGTCTGGAGTTGGCCACAGTCATCTGGTCCTCTTGAAGAGCTAACAACACTTTAGGACTACCAAGAGACAAACAGAAACAGTGGCCATGAGTAGGTGTAAAATGAATCGCCACATGCTGTTTCCTATTATACTGGAGCGAAAAAACACAATTCACTAATTCAGACATAAACATTTACTCACTTTTGACAGACACACAGAGGCACATGCAAAAGCAAGGAGCTTTTAAGAGGCAAAGTTGTACGGGACGAAATAAATATTGTCTATAATTGACAACTCGGGAGGAGAGGGTGATGAAAGGATGCTGGGCATCTCAGTTTTATTTTTGTACACCTTTTTGTACACCTCAAATGTTTGGAATAATTGCAACTGCATTTATTTGATAAAAAATACAGTAGAAACAGTATTACTGTGAAATATTATTAAAACTGTTCCAAATTTGAATATAGTTTAAAATATAATTTATTCCTGTGATGGCAAAGCTGAATTTTCAGCAGCTACTGTATTACTTCAGCCTTCAGTGTCACATGATCCAGAAACTATTCTAATATGCTGATTTGGTGCTTAAGAAACATTTCTTATTAATAAGAATAATGAAAACAATAGTTTTTGTGGAAACCATGATACACTACCATTCAAAAGGTAGTGGTACGTAGGATGTAAAAAAGAAAAGGAAAATAAATTAATACTTTAATTCAGCAAGGACATGTTAAACGGTTTAAAAGTGACAGTAAGCCCATTTATAATGGTACAAAAGATTTATATTTCAAAGAAATGCTGAAATAAATGCTAAATAACTGAGCACAAATAATAATTGCAAAAAATCTGCAAATGAAAATGATTTCTGAAGAATCATGTGACACTGAAGAATGAGGTAATAAAGAATCACGGGAATAAATTACATTTTAAAATATATTCACATAAATAAAAAGTTATTTTTTAATTGAAATTATATTTCACTATACTACTAATTTTACTGGATTTTTTAACAAAAAAATGCAGCCTTGGTGAGCATAAGAGATCTTATTTAAATACATGAAAAAACACTAATTGTTACAAGCTTATGTCTAGTAGTGTATATCAATTGTATTGTAAAAGTGTGAGCTAGTGGGTGGCTGTTGTTAACAATACTTGTGAATGCGTGACCCTACATCTCTTAGAAATAGAGTGAGAAAGGAAGCAGTAGAGCGCGAGTTCCTCCAAAGAACAGGTTACCTGTGGCCCGTGGATGCCCTCCCGTGCCTCAGTTGTGGGGAGGTTGGCGGTACTGAGGCAGCAGGCTGCTGACAATCTAAGAGAGACTGATAAATTAGACAGATATACAGAGGTGTGATAGTCAGGGTTAGTGACACAAACACAGACAGAGGCGAGAAGTGAACTCGCCGGAAATGGCTGCATTGGGCTAACTAGAGTGTGATTCTATGTGTTAATCTCATGCAGAATCACACGATGAACGAATGAACGAATACAGCATGCAGAATGAGAGAAAAATAATTACAAACATTCAGCTGCATATATTTGTGTACATTCATGAGGAATACCAGATATAACGATGGAAGGAAAGCAAGATGGAACCACCTTCTGTTTGTTAAACAGAGATACACTACTTTTCAAAAGTTTGGGGCCGGTAAGAATTTTTTTATGTTTTTGAAAAAAGTTCTTAGACTCACCAAGGCTGCATTTATGTGATCAAAAATACAGTAATATTGTGAAATATTATTACAATTGAAAATACCTGTTTTATGTTTTAAAACAAATTGTGTCATTTGTGATTAGTTTAAAAGTAAAGTGTAATAAATAAAGTGTAATTTGTAATTATACACTGAACAAAATTATAAACGCAACACTTTTGTTTTTGCCCCCATTTTTCATGAGCTGAAAAGTCTTAGATCTTTGAGTTCAGCTCATGAAAAATGGGGGCAAGTGTTGCGTTTATAATTTTGTTCAGTGTATATAGCATGCATTACTTCAGTCTTCAGTGTCACATGATCCTTTAGAAATCATTCTATATGCTGGTTGGGTGCTCCAGACACATTTCTTATTTCAACATTAATTATTAATAGTTGCACTGCTTAATATTTCTGTAGAAAAAAAATCATTCTTTTTCTTTGATGAAAAAAGTTCATATCAACAGCATTTATTTGAAATAGAAATATTTTGTAACATTATAAATGTCCTTACTGTCATTTTGATCAATTTAATGCATCCATGCTGAATAAAAGTATTAATTCATTTAAAAAAAAAATCTTTCTGAGCTCAGACTTTTAAACAGTAGTGTGTGTGTCAGGCACAAATGATATGCAGTGTTGCTGCGTTGTTAATGAGAGCGTGCAAACACACATACATTTATACATTTGACAAGACAAAAAGTCATATCTAACACATTACAGTTGATGATGCTGTCTAGCTAAGAGCACATATACACAAGACATTTTAATAAGATTTTTTCTTTTTCCCATTCACACTCCAGTGTAAGTAGTTCTTGTGCAAACCTGACTGTCGTGATGCTGGGGTGTCATGGGTGGTTATTTGGGTGTTGTTATATGCAGCCAATCTATGTGTTTTTTAATACATTGCTATGCAGTTTGTGGGTGTACTGGGCAGTTGGTTGTATAAATGCATTATTGACATAACCATCTCTATATTGCAAACAATTATGTCTACAGCGCCAGTGTCAAAAAATTTATTTTTGTTGTATTTTAATCAGAAGGAAACTACTGCTCTGTTGTTGGGATACGTTTTGATCACAATGGGCAAAACAGCATTTGACACATTCAGTAATAAGTGTGAAATGTAGAAACACTGACACCTACAGGCAGGAAATGGATGCATCCACTGCTCATTTCTGAAGGATCATGTGACACTGAAGACTGAAAATTCAGCTCTGCCATCTCAGGAATAAATGACATTTTAAAATATATTAAAATAGAAAACATTTAGTTAAAATGTAATAGTATTTCACTAGATTACTGTAATTTTGAACAAATAAATGCAGCCTTGGTGAGCATAAGATAATTCTTTCAAAAACATAAAAAAATGATTCCTACATTTTGACCGATGGTGTATTTCTAGAGTTGGCAAAACATAATTCTGTTCAGAATTAATTAGTTGAAATTTCAAGTAGTATCAATAAAAAAAGTCTCTAAATCTATCCCTGAGTTGAATCATATGCTCCAAGCAGTCATATCAGATGGAAACCAGTCTGTCTTTAAACCGTGTCACCTACTGAGGGTCACCATTAGGGATTCTGGGAGTCCCAGGCTGGACTAGAGAGGTCCTTGAAGCGGCTGAAGGCGTGAACTGAGTCACATTGGAGCGCATGCGAGATCTCACAGAACGTGGGGATGGCTGCCGAGAGCCCAGGACAGGAGAACGGTAGGGGGAAGTAGGAGCAGATCTGGGAATGTGAGCATCAGAGTCTCCGCTATGAACAACATGACAAAACTCAATACTTAGCGTCTCTGGGTGTAAAACTAAAGTCTGAGTGCCCAGTTTCCACTGCGACTGGCCGAAGAAAAACGGCTGGGCTGAGGAGGTCCAGGAGGAGGAGGATGGAGAATGGACATCCAGTGAAGGAGAGCTACTGGCTGATGCAACCATATTGTTTTGGAATAGACAGGAAGGGGGTTTTGAAACCGATGCAGTGGGACTAGGGGGAGCGGTGAGTGCAGTTTGATGACTTACTTTTTGAGGGCTGCTCTTTATTTTTGGCACTTTTCCTCCACGGCCACAATGTGACTGCTCGTGGTCAAACTCTAGGTCTTCCAGGCGTTGGGTGAGGGCCAGTTTCTGCTGAATAGCCATTCGCAGGAGGGAGTTCAGAGTCTTCTTTTCATCTTCTGCGGCAGCCAGCTGCCTCTGCATCTCATCCAGCTGAGTTACATACTCATCACATCTGGACAAAAAGGAGGAGAGAACATAAAACATCAGAACACATTGTACTGAATAAGTATCTTGAATAATTACAACATATTTTACTACCATAATGTATTTCTGTGTGAAACAGAATATTCAACCTTAAAAAATACAGTGAAGAACTTGATTTTGTCCATCTTAAGTCATTAGATTCCTGAACAAATGGCTCTAAAATGTTAGTTCTTTTTAGTCAAAAATGTATTGTGTAGTACGATACATATGCATTTTAGTAGTATTTTTACAAATATGAATAAATTAAATGTTGCCATTTTTTAAATTTGTTGTTTAGTATGGTTGTTTTATATACATTATATATTGTTTTATATCGCTTTTTATTTCTCCTCTTTCCTATTACTTGTTTCGCTTCTGTTTCAGTTTTTATAACCATTGTTGTTTTTTAGCATGTGTTTGGCAGTGTTAATTTTTAGGATTACTGATAAACTACTGTCATTTGATTTGTATTATTTGTATTTGTTATTTATTTTAGTTAAATGATGTCTGAATTTATTATGTCTGTATAGGTCTTTTATTAAGTTTTTAGTTTTATTTAAGTTATTTTAATACTTCAACAAACTAAATGGAAATAAAATAATATATATTTAGAATTTCTAAATGTGTATGTACATATACAGTATATATGTATGTGTGTGTGTGGTTGTACATACACATATGTAGTTGTCTTTTTGGTGTTTGGCTTAGTGTTATGTTAGAATCATTATTATACTCTTAAAGTGATTATTACGTTTTGAATATGGATATTTGTCTTACAAAAACGCATACATTCACTACAGGAGGACTTTGTTCACCCCCCCGGAGCCGTGTGAGTTATGGAGGGGCGCTTTTTATATAACTTCTTTTGGACTGAAGCACTGCAACACCCACTGACTGCAATGATAGAGCTTGGAATAGCCAGGACAATTTTTAATATAACTCAGACTGGATTCGTCTGAAAGAAGAAAGTCACATACACCTAGGATGGCTCTGGGGTGAAAAAAAAATCCCATTTTTGGGTGAACTAACCCTTTAAGGCCAATTATTGTATTGCATTTATGCCAAATTCAAAAATACATTGTCAATAAAATACCATTTTCTAAATTTTAAACTTTAATTTTTTTCATACACATATGTAGTTGTCTTTTTGGTGTTTGGCTTAGTGTTATGTTAGAATCATTATTATACTCTTAAAGTGATTATTACGTTTTGAATATGGATATTTGTCTTACAAAAACGCATACATTCACTACAGGAGGACTTTGTTCACCCCCCCGGAGCCGTGTGAGTTATGGAGGGGCGCTTTTTATATAACTTCTTTTGGACTGAAGCACTGCAACACCCACTGACTGCAATGATAGAGCTTGGAATAGCCAGGACAATTTTTAATATAACTCAGACTGGATTCGTCTGAAAGAAGAAAGTCACATACACCTAGGATGGCTCTGGGGTGAAAAAAATTTTTTTTGGGGTGAACTAACCCTTTAAGGCCAATTATTGTATTGCATTTATGCCAAATTCAAAAATACATTGTCAATAAAATACCATTTTCTAAATTTTAAATTTAAATTTTTTAAATTTTTAGTTGTGTCCCCAGCTGACACAAATATGTTTTAAGGACATTTTGCTAACGTTTCATTAAGTTACGAAAACATTTTTTCTGAATGCTCTCTGAACGTTCAAACGGTTCAGTTTTTTAAATGTTTAAAACCATTTTTCTTTGTTATACAAACATTATGGAACACGCAAACATAGAAACGTTAGTTTTGAAAGTGATCGTTTTGAAACAAATAGAAATATTTAAAAAATCCAGTCACATCCAGTGTAAAAATTCTACAAGGATCTTTATTGGAATCATTAAGGAACCAGAATGATTCCAGCAACCAGCAACCGTTAATAGGAATCAGAACCTGAACTTATATTTCCATCCCTACCTGTAACAGTAACTAAACGGCTATTTAGCTGTTGGCTAACACTATTTCCGACCTAGGTGAGATCAGCCAGAAAGAAAAAGAGTTTCAAGCAGTTACATTTTGATGAAAGATTATTACAAATACAGAACATTTAGTTAAATCATGAATGTTATTTAAAGAAAGAAACCAGTTTGGATGTCCTCAATAAAAATAAATGCCGATAAAGGTTGATAAACGCACCTTGTGGCAAACATTGCCCTCAGTGAGGAAAAGGTGGCTGCGTCTTCTTTGAGGGCCTTCAGTTCATTTCTAAGCTTCTTCATTGTCTCCGTCACCATGGATTTCTCATTTTCATATTTGCTCTTCAGGTTCGCAAGGGCCACCTCGGCAGTCTAGAAACACAAATGAAAAACATATAATGTTCTGTTTTATATGCTTCTTTTTGAGACCAAACACAACTGGGGATATTGGGATTTGCATGGCCTTCTTACCTGTTTGTTGGCTTTCAGGACTAGACGCAATGTGGCGATCTGCTCTCTCTTGGTGCTCAAGAGGGATTTGAGTTTCAGGATCTCCTCCATGCAGACCTCTTTTTCCTTATCTAGGATGGGTGCCAACTCTCGTGCCGCAGCCCTCTGCCTGGAGAGCTGCAGCGAGCGGTCCACAGCCTTCTGCAGGTGCTTGATCTGGTCACGGATGATGGCATTGAGGTTATAGATGTTCATGGGTTCCCGGCGGAGATCACCTGTTTCTGGAACTGGGGAGGGTGAGAGAGATGAACCATTGATTGGTGAACCAAAGGGGGTTTTGTTGGGACTTCCTCCTTCCCCTTTAGTTCCTTCTCCAAGGGGTTCCTTTGATGGAGAGTCTTGAGGACTCTTGGACACGTCTGAGGAGTTAGCAGCCGCGATACGGCGAGCTAAACGTGGAGAAAGCAGTGCTCTTGGGTCCTCTGGGCCTTTGAGACTGCCGCTACGCGTAACCCGGCTCTGACGGTAGTAGTCCAGCATGACTCGGTTCGGTGTTTCGTTGTTGCACAAGCAGACGTGGTGGTAGAGCTGAGCAAGTTCCTCACTAAACGTAACCAGCTCATCCTGAGCTGTGTTCAGCATACTGTTACTTTCACTAGCCATAACGGAAGAACACCGGAGCTCCACTTCCAGACTGCTAACCCGCTCGCGGCCCTCATGGCAGGCTTTCTCCAACCGTTTCACCTGCTCTTTGAGAGCCTGGACCTTCCCTTCACTGTGGTTGCTCTCTTCTGATTGGTTCTCCAAAGACTGGTTATATTTTTCCTTCAAAGCCTTAAGCTCTGCCTTCAAGTCAATAACCTCATTCATGGCAACTCTGTATTTGCACTCCAGAAGCTCCATTCCATTGATGTCTGCCTCATAATCGCAGCAACCGTTAATGGGCACATCGTTCTTCTCTGACTCCTCCGTATCAAACTCCTTGTCACTGTAGAGGCGCTTCATAGCGTTGAAGCGCTCCGTAAGGCGGTGAACGCGTTTGTGCTGCTCAGTTAAAGCTCCCTGCGTGTGCTGCAGTTGAGTTTGAGACTCCTGCAGGTTGGAAAGTAGAACTGCCTTCTCTCGCTCAACCTAGTGGACAAGATGATACAAAGGTTGTTAGCAAAATCCAAGATAAAAAAAAACACTATATGTTAGCCTTGCCATTCATTTACACAAATGGGGTCAGTACACTTTAAAAAAATATTACTTACATTCATAAATGACACATTAAATTGATCAAAGGTGACAGTAAAGACATTTGAAATGTTACAAACGATTTCCCATTTCAAATGAAATATGTTCTTTTGAACATTCTATTCATCAAAGAATCCTGAAAAAAAGTATTAAAGGGACAGTTCACCCAAAAATAAAAATTCTGTCATTAATTACTCGCCTTCATGTCGTTCAAAACCCGCAAGAACTTTCATTCATCTTCGGAACACAAATTAAGATATTTTTGATGAAATACGAGAGTTTTCTGACCCTCCACAGACAGCAACACAACTACCACGTTCAAGGCCCAGAAAGCTAGTAAGAACAACGTTAAAATAGTCCATGTGACATCAGTGGTTTAACTGTAATGTTATGAAGCTACGAGAATACTTTTTGAGCATAAAGAAAACAAAAATAATAATCAAATAATGATAATTTCTTCTCTTCCATGTCATTAAGGTTGAACCACTGATGTCACATGGACTATTTAAAAATTGTCCTTACGACCTTTCTGGGCCTTGAATGTGTCAGTTGCGTTGCTGTCTATGAAGAGTCAGAAAGCTCTCGGATTTCATCAAAAATATTTTAATTTGTGTTCCTAAGATGAACAAAGGTCTTATGGGTTTGGAACGACATGAGGGTGAGTAATGACAACATTTTAATTTTTGGGTGAACTATCCCTTAAGGTTTCAACAAAAATAGAAATAGTTACGAAGTGAAAGTTCATCAAGCACAAAAATGTACCTAACCTACAATACTTTTGTTAGAAAACAAAAGTTGTTAGCTTGCTTGTCACAAATTTAGCATAACCGCAGACATGTGATTCCTGTCACTGAGCTCAAGTGCTGCTTAATTGCTTTTTGATCACTCATTGTATCAGAAGCGTCAGCCATCTAACACTTGAGGCTGAGATAGCGAAACCCCATCGATTCCTTTCAGGCAATGAGCCAAGAACAACACAAGAAAATATATTTAACTTTTTTTCTGGATAAATGCCAGGCAACTACAGTAGCTTGAAGGGTGAGGAAACAAGTAATTATAACCAAGCAGTGCTATAAATGAGTAAACTGCACATCTAAATAGCAAAATATACCACAGCAACTGCTTTGTGCAATAGGATGCTGAAATAACAGGCTCTTGGCTATGCATTTGATGGCAATCCCTCACAGCAAGAGAAAACATTACTACAGCCACAGTCCCCAGAGGAGACCCTTAGATGCAAACATGTTATATAATGCTTTTCATGAAATTGATCTGTTTAGACTACTTGGATGAATTTATGTGTGGTCACATTGCTTTTCTTTATTCATACATGACCAAATGGCCATAGTGTTTTTTAATATATATACTGTATAATCTTAAAATACAAATGAGATATATTAATAAATTATTTTTATGTATTAGTTTTATTTTAATGATTTCCCTCCCAGGCGGTGATATTCTCCGTTCACCTTTGGTCCATGCCCATTGCACTCATTACAGCGGTTACGGTCATCATTGTTGGGGTTAGACCCAGATGCAGACATGCCGTTGGTTGCTGCCTCCTCTGCAAACTTCAAACCCTCCTCGGCAGAGATGGCCAGGTGGGTGCTGGCTCCATACACACTGTCCGTCAGGAGATGATGGACCAGCTCCTTTCTCAGATTGTTCTTCTGCTCTCTCTCACTCTTCAGAGCATCCAACGCCTCTTCTAACTGGCCTTCAGAAATGTCTTTCAAACGCAAAGCGTCTTCCAGCTGGCTGTTGAGTAGCACTGTCTCTTCCTCAAGCACTTTGATTTCATGTTTTAGACCCTCATATTCCACCTATACATTTTAAGGAGATTAAAGAGAATGTGAACAGGCATATTTGTGGACACTTGACGGTGTAATATAAGAATAAGAGAATAAGAATAATATTGTGTGTATATTATGCAATTTATATATACAGTGGGGGAAAAAAGTATTTAGTCAGCCACCAATTGTGCAAGTTCTCCCACTTAAAAAGATGAGAGAGGCCTGTAATTTTCATCA